CACCCCCCACCCCCCCCAATAATGCTAATTACTTCAACCTCTTCCCTTCCTTCCTTCAGACTTTTGCTCGGGATGCCTTGGCGGAGCAACGCAAAGCACATTAGGAGAAAATAAATATCACCTTCATATTACCAAGCATTTTCTTCTAAAATCATTCACCCCAGCTTAACCTGCCATAGTGGGTGTAATTCAATCTTTATTCATTCTAAAGTTCTTTCAGCATCTTTCTTCCCCATTTTTTTTTCTTGTATAAATTCAATGACTTTTCTTCGCGATAACGACCTTAGATCTTCAAATTCTGATTACGTTTTTTTGGCAAATTATTACTCAGCAGATTATATGTAATTACTTTGTTGTGTACGTGTTAGTCAATATCATTCATATGTTGTTTTTCAATGACAAAAGTTGTTTATTTGTTTGTTAATTATGAACAATAACGTCAGAAATCCATCTTTCCCAATCAATATGGGCACACATCTCGGTCAAAATTTTATTTTCAGAAAACCTTTCGGTCCTGGCTCCATTAATGCGACATCCAAAGGGATCTTTAAAAATAATAAACCAATTGTTAGGTATATATTGTCTATTAAAGTCTACTCCGTTTATAATATTTTACCTTTATGGTCGGCTTTGCAAGTTGAATCCAGTTTTTTACCGTATATAAAATCCTTAAACATGCTTCTCAATTTATTTGAAAAGGAATAAAAGCCCTTAGTTGTGGTCGGTGTTTTTGTTTGGTTACCCAACTCCTGGAGGTTGCCAAATGATCCCGTTAGGATCAGAGCGTCAAGAGAATGAAAAGATCCCCGTTTAATTTTTGGATTATTCTTTTTCATGAATCCTGGACCTGGAGCGAAAGGTACGCCTCTACCAGAGCGTTCATCCAGAATTAATTTGTAGAAAACTCCCTTCGAATTAACCAATTTGGATAAAATATATGATTGAGGGCAGGAAAATCTAATTAGACTGAGAATCTCTAAGTGAAATTGCTGCTGGGTTCGGATTGGTACTGCCAGGGTTGATTGCAGTAACAAATCGTGTTTCCAGGCTGCACCGAGTAGATTCTTCAGTCCTTGTACACCTCGGGGCTCTGTGAGATGTTTGAATCTATCAAACATTAGAGCGATTCGTTCTAGCTGAATGTCGGCGAGCTCTCTCTGCCAGGTGTCACCCATACCTGTCCATTCTTCTAATTCTTGAGCCATAGAGGAAAAGACGACTTTTATTGGTCGCTTATCTAAGAGGGTTAGAAAATGAGTATTCAGAGGGACTATTTCTGAAACGTTCAAACCTTCGCGTCTTTACAACCAAATTTTGATAGTTAATCTTATCTAGTATATGTATTTGATCAAAATATTTTTAATCAGTACGAGAGTGTAATGTTGCTTTGGAATGAAAACAACTGACGATTCTGGATTTTAAGTAAAATTAGATTCTTTGATTTTCTTACCTCATTATCCACATTCTCCAGTAGAATGACTCAAATTTCGTTCCTATTTCGAGTTGCGCCATAGACGTGGTGGATCCAGGGTCAACGTATACCCATACGGCTTTAAACTACCATGACCCTACTGTATGTCATATTCCACCACTTACTGTACTCAGCTTACCTTTTCTCTGCCTTTGTGTCCGTCTATCCCTTACATATGTGAATCACTCTTCTGTTCCTCCCCTTGTTTTTTTGAGACTTCTTTGATATTCCTCACCTCCATGAAGTCCAAAGTATACTAAAGAACTATTTGTAACTATCATAAAGCCTGTCATTTGTTATAAATCTTTCCTATGTCGTCTTTTTGAAGTATTTTTATTTTAATTTAATTTTTTTACCCTCTCTCTACAAAAACCACGAAAGTGCGCTTATTGAACTCATAACCGAATTATGTGTTACACGCGAAGGCATGGATGCCAATGAAACATTGAACCCCATGGACTTGAACTTATTTCTAATGAATTTCAATTGTTTGGACCAGTGCAAATTCCACTTCACCAATATTATGAACGATTTCCCAAATACTTGTTAAAGGATTTTGAGTAGTATTAACTTAAACAGCTTTGTCTAGAAAGCATTTTTTAACGTTTACCTGTTTCCATCCGAATTGGTTTCCAACATTTCAGTTGGAGAACATGGATTAACAATTTATAATCCCACGGTTTCCAAATAATTAGTTATGCCGAACAGGAATCTTACAACAAGCTGATCACAATTCTAACGATGCAGGCGTTCGATTCTAGTCGCACTAGTGAACTCTGCTTTTATTGCTAGTGTTCACTATTTTACATATCACGTTCTCCCACTCTCTGACTCATTTTTTACTCCACATGTTCTATAAATTCTATTCTTCACAATTTTCTGGAACTCCGCAAACTGTGGTTGTCGTCTGTTACCATAGTTCCTGGTATTGATCCATCTCTTATTTTGAACTTTCAGACAAAGTATTCGAATTAACAGAATTAAAACGCATTCCATATTTCAAGAAAATTGGTTTTGTTGAAATAAATGAGATAATATTTTTTCGTAAAAAAAATGCCGTAAGTCGAAAGTTCTATGAATATCTCCTGTAGTTTAAAATAAAGATTTCGAAATCCGAAATTCGAAAAAAGCCCTGAATCTATAAATAGAGGTATTTTTTAAAAAAATAGAACTAAGTACGTCACTCATTCTTACCTCCAGCAAATTTTTATAACTTTTAAAATAGCAATGAAAAGCATCTCGATTACAGTTAACATAGAATGGAGGTTGAAAGGGGAAAAATTGCAAATGCTGCATGGAAAAACAGTAATAAACTGTTTATTGAGGAATATGAGCTCATCATTAGTCTATAATGCTACGACAGACAAAATGAATGTTGATGATCATTTGCCATGTGATGAATAACAGATAATACCCATGGGAGTAGTAACTCAACAAATTTCTATGTTGAATAGACCATTAAGAAATGAGGAATGTGGTCTGGGTAGTTCCTAATAATAAAGTCAAGCCTTAAAAGCAGCATTCTCATCTCATTTGGACTCTCGTATAATTATTCAATTTTCCGCGATACTAGTATTTCAAGGTTAATTATATCTTATCTAATCCACGTATGAGATTGCAAAATTGAGTGATCAGTCAAGCTACCATTACTTCTACTATATGAGGAACAGCATGTAGATATTAAAACATTTTTTAAACCAACAATATTCATTTGAGCTCTATCAAGATGAACGCTTCTATTGGGTTTATTTTAATTTCCCTTTTAACACTTGAATTTATTAAATAGACCCTAACATGATCATACATTATTTATACGGCACTATTCGGATTAGTGGATTCATATCACCTGCAAATTGTAAATATTGGGTTGGCAACTAAGTCATTGCCGTTTTTGTTGTCGGATTCGCTATACTTTCTTTTGTTTTGTTAACGTGGCCAGAGCATCTAACCCATATTTTCTTCCTACTGTATGGGCTTCTAGGTTAATTAGTAAAAAATTTTTTATTTAGTTCTTTAGTTTTGTTTTTATCCCAATTTAAAAATGAAAGAACAGGACGTGCACTTCCGACACATTTTATTGTTTTACTTCCGAAAAGGCAGGAACGCATCGCAAGCACAAAAGAAGTTATGTGCCGTATATGGAGATGAAGCCTTAAAAAAAGGCAGTGTCGAAATTGGTTTGAAAGATTTCGTTCCGGTGATTTTTCACTGAAAAATTCACAACGATCTGGCCGCCCAGTCGAAGTGGATGAAACCCATATCAAGGCCATTATCGATTCAAATCGTCACAACACAACATGAGATATTGCAGAGAAGCTGCTCAATGTGTTGCATACATGCATTGAAAAAAAATTAAAAACCCTTGGTTATGTCAAGAAACTTGATTTATGGATCCCTCACCAGTTAGAGGAAATTCATTTGACGCAACGGATTAGCATCTGTGATTCGCCGCTACTGAAACGCAATGAGAATGATCCATTTCCGAGGAAGAACCTAGTTACTGGCGACGAAAAGTGGATAGTTTATAAGAATGTTACTCGCAAGAGATCATGGGTGAAGCAAGATCAACCAGCCCAAACAGTATCAAAAGCAGAGATTCACCAAAAAAGATTATGCTGTCAGTAGTCTGGTGGGATCACAAAGGAATTTTGTATTTTGAACTCATGCC